TGATATTACTAAACGGTTGAAATGGGTTTTTTTATTACTTAATTACAAGTATACTTACCAATTCATATTAGAAAGGTTTTAATATTTTTTTTAGGTAGTTTTGGAAAGTTCCAAAATTATTATTCAAAATTGTATTAGTGTAATTTATTTATTTATAAATAAATATATTACTAAACTTGCAACATAAACATTTTTAGTGCTGTGTCAATGGAACCGCACATTGAACCTCTTTCTCATTAACACAGTGACCTCTAACGGAGTCGAAGGCGAATCCTTGATCGCAGGTTAAGAAACGGGGACGTCCATGCTCGCAGGAGTAGAAGGCGTAGCAATTACCTTTGTACCTGGGGATGAAAAGAGAGACAAATGTAACGTTTCGTAGGTATGACAGAATAAGAAAAAGATGCCAATAGATTGACGACTTTTTACGACGATGGCTACACTGATTTAGTCGTATAACCGCGGAGCCAATATTGGTTTTAGGATTTAAAGGATGTTAAATTAATAGTCCTTGAAGATGAAATTTTTCTGTATATTTTGACTGTAGCGAATGCTTAATGCATTTAATTTTGCTTAATGCATTTAAAAAAAAAATTGATGAATTTTAAACAATACTGATATTATTTTATAAACTTACGCGTAATTCACAACATCCATTGGGTTACCATCGTCGTCAATAGGTGCGGGCGGGCATTGAAAACCAAGGTACTCTGAAATTTAAATTACAAATAAAATAGAAAAAATGCAACTCTGGATTATTTGTCGGTGACAATACTCGGAACTTTCACTTGCTGTTGTTAATGTTCTGGAAACAATGTTCAAATGGAAAGTTTAATAAGCAACAAGCAAATAGAGAAATTCATTATGTCTGTTGAATCGTTCCGATGTGTTCTGTTGACTCGCTCAGCTCAGGCTGAGAGAGCGATATCCCCGGTTTGGCGAAAAAAAATAGCTGGTTTGTGTCCATTCGGATCTAAGGAATTTTTCTTTATTTGTATCAATAATAACTTTTAATTACTTACGTTCAGCATTGCAAGAAGGAACGAGATCAGGCCAGTCACAACGAACGTTGTCAGAGTTAAAAGCTAGACCGGGTGGGCATTGCATCTCGATCGCCTTGCCTTCCACGCACATACGGTATGAGCCACAGTGCATGGCGTCAGCATTGGGTGATTGGAAGAAGCCGTATTGGTGCGGGCAATCGGCGGTGGGTTGGGCTGGCTCTGAAAACGTATATTAAGTGTATGCTTTTGTAGTCGCTAAAGGCACGAACGAAATAAATTTTGAACGAGTAGATCTAATAATCCATAACGGACTGCAAAAAAAAACTTTTCAAACTAGAGATTTAACATAACCGCCATGTTTGTTCGATTTGCAACCGGTATAAAATGCAGAGAGATTCTGTTTTTCACATGCTAGAGTCGTTTCCTGTGACAGGTACAGTGTGTAGGCCATTGCAGGCAGTTTTGGTGCCGAAAGGAGTAGTTTACATATATTTTGAAGACACCACCACCAGTTATTATACGCAATGTACGAGAGAGGTATATATCGTGGATTTTATTCTTAATCATTTAGGATACATACGAGGAGCACCACGACCCTGGCAAGGTGCGTCCATGGGATAAGCGCAAGGGTAGGCAGGCCACTCAGCTTG